AGTGTCAAAGGCCTTACTAAAGTCCAGGTAATTCCTGTTTTGGCTCATGATGCAGCCAGGACCAACAATAAAGCTAAATTTTCAGCCTGCTCTTTGGACTGAACGCATCTGTGTCTCTCTGGCTGATCTGTGTCAGCCAGATCAACTGAGCTAACAGGAAATACTGTGTGTTTGGACAAACTTAATGAAGAGAGTATGAGGTAATGTTAGGCAAAGGAAGTGTGAGAACACAAATGCAATCACCAAATGATTTTTTAAATCACAAGACAGTGTCAAAGGTCTGCACTAAAGTGATTGCAAACGATCTTTTTAAGACAGCAAGTAAGAGGTAACCCCTACCTCAGTATGCTTGCATACAGGAAGGGCATGCAGATCACATGGCAGCAAAATACTTCCAAAGGCTAGAGAAATGCAATTATTCTGCATGCCTATCCCTTGCTGAAACACGCAGAGTCACACATTTCATCATTATTGGCACATCATCAGGGTTCCTAGCAGCACAATTTAGAGTAAGCAAAGTATGGAGAACACCAAAATTAAAGGTAATTAGTTTAGCAAGAAATCTGTTCTTGAGCAGCTAGTGATGATAATGATTTTGGTGAGATAACAGGGTGGAAGTCAGATAGATGACATAAGCCTAGACTGTCTCATGTTGTGCTGTAATACCAGATGCCTGCCTTTGAAATGGTTGTCAGGCTTTGTACAGCCCTTTTTAATTTTTTAAGCACTGTAATCTTATGTGACACGTGGCGTACATGAACAGAACATCTCGGATATCCTGAGAGGTGAACTTTGGACTAACACACAAAGAACACCTTGCTGCCGCTGATACCTGCTTTAAAACAATTACCTTCAGAAGCTCGAGGTAGTTCTATCTGCTTTGCTGCTTGCTTCAGCATGTAGGTCAAGTAAATATCCCGTTCCGAGACAATCGTTCGATGAAGATCAGGGAATTCTCCAATCATTTCTGCCATCATCTGCTCCAGTAAATCCTTCTGCTTGCATTTCTCCACATCATCTTTACTGAAAGAAAGGTAAGTTTTCTCAGTACCTGTTATGCTTTTAAAACCAAATACACACAAACTAATGAATAAAAACAATTGGGTATTATACACATTATTCACTTAAACCCATGCTCTACAGTTCTGCTCTCCAAAAGCAAAACAATCTCCCTAAACCTGTAAAACTGGATACCTAACAATGCCTCTACAGTGAGGGAAAGGGAAAGAAGAGGTCACTTGCCTTTAGGCAGCTCAACTGGATTTTCACCCTTCCCAGACTGAAAGATAACTCAACTGAGAAGAAGTACTAGGGTTTCAAAGAAAATAGTTATCAGGGTGCCCCACTTTCAGTGTATATTAATAAGCTTAGAAGGGGCAACACAGAGCACTCCTGAGAAAGCAGATCTGATCACCGAACACACAGAGGCTTGATTTAATGAACAAAAAAGCACACTGTAAGGCACAATCTGAAGGGACAGAAAGAGTTCTGCAGCTTCCCAGTGTCAATCACAGGTCTTCAGCAGGGAAGCCAAAGCTATAAATCAATTCCCTGAACAGAAGAACAGGAAATGAGTAGGAAACAAATAAATAAAAACTGCAGAATTGTAATGAGTTTTATATTTTTATACATGCTGTTAACCATCTCTTTGCACCCACAGGTGTGGTACCGTCATAGTTTGTGGCAACAGAATAACCTGGTTTTGAGTCACCATCTACTGAAAAACGATGCCAAACGTGCTTTCTTTAGTTTCCAAGATCAAAAGAACACTACAAACATCAACAGGGACCACCAAAAGGAGAAATGCATTCCTAGCTTTCAACAGATCATAATTGGCAAAATTTGGCAAAAATTTGATGTTTAATTACTACTCCATTTTCTGTAGAATCTCATGTTGATGGCTGGGCGCAAAATATACCCCTGACAATGTCCTTTCCTTTTCAACTCCTACCCACGTGTTATTTTTAAAAATCAACATAGCAGACCAATTGTACAACAACTGAGATGTTATGTCCAAACTCCAGGGGGAAGCTAGTGTGCATACACTATAATTATCTCAATATTACAGTTGAAAACCAGAATGTTCTGAGGATGAATAGAAGAATGGGAGAAGCTGCAGAGAAATACATCCTCCAATGCTCCTCAAAACCCTGCAAATAGTTTCATGCTGATATGAGACCAGTAAGAAAACTTATTTTGTGTATGAACTGTAGTTAATGGATTGAAAGAGGGTCAAAATCATTTCACAAATGAATGTAACAGCAAGCATTTACAGAAAACAACAATTAAGTAAACACTAAAACTGGACAACAGAAGCTTTGAGTGACCTGACTACAACTTGAGCCCTGGCCCAATTTTAAAAGCCTGAACAAAAAAAACAACCCATAGATCACTTTATGAACTGCGCAGAGCTCCAGTCTCAGGGTATGAGAGAAGCACTGAGATTTAGGGACCACATGCATGGGGAAACTATTTCTGTGAAGCTTCCTACCACTGCAAGCCTGGTAGGAGCAGACTAAATTTAGGACAGCTGTGCATGTGTCCTCACCCAGTTCAGGCAAGTTATCGCACACCTACTTGTGGCCAGAAGGAAAGAGGAAACAAACTTGGCACAAGGGCGTCTCTGAAAGACAGAGGAAGCTAGACTGAGCAAGAGAATGGCTGTCTGAGAAGTATTACAGTAAGGCAAAAGCTCCTAACAACGTCCCTTTAAAAAGGCAATAATCATTAAGAGACCACATGTTGTTCACAGACTTCAAATATTTTTCTTGCTCTAAGAATCTGCTCAGACAGCACACTCAGTTCTCAAGTTGCCCTGATCCAGATGCTACTTAGCACAGCAGGCCCATGTCCTTTGGAAAACTTAAGGAAGGATAAATTCACAGATCGAGGCCCTACTCTCTTCCGTTTACAATATCAACAACACAGTAGTGGGAAAGATTTTACATTCAGCATAAAAATGAAAGAAACAAATTTTGAAGTACACTAGGAATTCTCCAGCACCAAATCTTTCACTTCACCTGGAACTAATGTATCAAAAGAATTAAAGAAAGAGCTGGAACAAGATCAGAAAGCAGCTTTCTTTTAAAAAATATGGATTATTACAGGGTAGTTTGCACATTTATCCTCCTCACTAACTTCAAGTTTCACTACATCAGGCTGGGTACTGAGAACTTCCAGCTCGTACTGAATTCAAACTGAAGAACTGAACAACTCATCCTATAAACGTATGGAATGCTTATTCATACCTGATTGGGTCAGATAGGAAGCAAAGGCCCCAGGCAAGCTTGACTTTTTGCCAGAAAGAAAGTGCAGCAATTGCTCTCTTAAATGTAATGGGGATGGGTCGGTCTCCAAGGTGGAATTTACAGAAAGGTACTTTACTGGCCTGAAAGAGAAGATACAAATCACTAATCAACATTTTATACTGCAGCACAGTACATCTTCATTAAGAGAATGTTTTACTGTGTTATACAAATTATCTTAACAAGAGCAAGTAGTATCAAACTTCAACCTTAAAAAATATTTTGGCTTTGCAGTATATAAAATTTCCAAAATAGTACTTCCTAAAGGAATACCTCGGCTACAAGATGCAGTAGTTATTACAGTGAAAACATTAAGCTGTTTTTTAATGCCACCCTCTTTAGGTTATTTTTACCTAATAAGAAAGCTCCTGTTTATGACTATTTAAGGTAAATAGATGGGGCTCAATATCCATCTTGAGGTGAATTTAGTGAAATGACTGTGGCCATTTTACTTTTACCTAGGATTTGTCAGGATGACAAACCTATCAGTTTGTCCTGGTAAAACACACTCAAGAATGAGCTTACTAAACAAGAATTCATGCCAGATAACACATGACAATGTGAGGGAAGACTTCGCTGTCGCTTAGATGGATAAATTTTAGCTCAGGACAGAACTTCTGGAAAATTCTCTCCTACGCATACCTGTTTGAAAATTCCAAACAGCAGGACAGAGCTGAATATATTTTTTTTTTTTTTTCTTTCCCACTTAAAATGGAAACACTTCAAATGTTTCACTGTGGTCTGGAATGCTCAGGAAGCCTTGAAACAGTATTCTTAAGGATAAATACAGCAAATTATTCCAGATTCTTTAACACCTGTGTTATCTCAATTTCCTTACTAGTACCTAGTTTATATAAAAATAGCAAGGTATATACATACATACAGTGAAAACAGTGTCTCAGTATTCCCAGAGTTTAAAAAAAAAGGGTAGCTGCAATATTCAGTAGAAGTCCAGCTGCTATTTACTTCCCAGTATCACAAGCCGGCAGTAGTACAAAAGGGAGTGTTAAAAGACCAGATAGGACTAACAGACCAGTCATGTCCCCAAACATTCTTTCCAGATGAATGTGTTAGATCTCATTAATGCTTTAGAGTTCGTTTTCACAGCCTGAAACCCTGTCACCAACAACAGTAGGACCAGGACCATAGAGAATTCAAAACCAATTATTTAACAGGAACAAAATAAATAATTTATTAATGAAATGAAAACAAATGCCATCAGAAACATAATCAAGAAAAGCACTTATGTGATACCTTTTTGGAGTTGCTTTCATGCCACTTAGGACTATAAATCTCCTTACTTTTAGTACACTGTGAAGTGGAAGATGATTCTCATTACTTCATAGACTTCAACACAAGCATGGCCAGAGCGCTCTTTTCCATTCACTAACAAATGGTTTTGTTTAGTTCAACTCTGGGAGTGAAAGGCTGGTAATTTGACCTCAGAAAAACCATTTCAAGTTCCCACCTCTTTGAAAGCCTCCCTGAATTCTCCTCCTGGGGCCATTCCCAGCTGTTCTGTGATGTGAGCAGAAACCTTCAGAAGCAGCATTTGCATCAGTCCAGACATGACTCCATTCTGTTGGAAAAGAGAAAAACCATTAAAAAAAATAACAAGCTGTGTGATTTCTCTGAAGAACACACTGTTCAGAGCAATGAAAACAACGCATTAATTATCTTAGTGAAGAAGCAGCACTGAAGCTACCTTTAGAAGCCAATCAACTGATCAATACAACTCTTTATTTCTGTTGCTATCAGAAAAGTTGTGCAGTAACTTTTCACTTTAGTGTGTGGCTAAAGTATTCTCCCTTTCAACAAAAACATATGGCTGAGCTAAGCAAAGGAAGGAGGGCAGCCAGACTTACATCAGTTTATGTTTACTACACCTTCTTGAAGAAAGTGCTTGAATAACTGAATGGTAGAACAGCTAATACTGTGCATCCATTTTTTCTTGATCTAATTAGTCAGAAAAAAGAGGAACCACAGGAGTACATTCCATTGGAGGTACAGTGAACTGTATCAAGAGGTCTAATCCTAAACACTCCCGCAAGCCTGGGAAACCCTAGGCTGAACACTGGTCAGGTTAACAGCCACAAAAACAGGGAATCCTGTGTTGTGCAAGAAATTGCTGTGTGTGACTTCAGCACATAAGACCTCAGAAAGGACTTCCCAGTTCTAAGTATGACTCACTCACACAAGCAACTAAAGGCCCCTACTTACAGTCTATTATTTTTATCAGTGGTTGAATGTTACCTATCCCCAAGCATAACCTTTACCTTGGTTACACATCTCCTCCAGTTTGGTATCAGTCCATACCACTGCCCAAAGGGGCATTCCCCTTTCCTCTGTCAAAGGTTAATTTCCTGCTATATCACGAGCTTCATGTAACTGCAGATGAGGTTACATGGGATAGCTTGAGTTAATATAACTGCCTGGAGATACCAGAGGAAGGTCCTGGTCTCCGTTCCTTGCTCCCAGGGCCATGCTCAAATGACCCATCCTGCGCCAGCTCTGATGCTTGTGTGACCTCTCCAAAGGCTGCAAGCAGCTTCTGCAGGTCACTGGATTCAAGAGTCGCTGAGGATCACAACCGGCAAGAGAGGGACTATTTTCAAAGCCAACTGATTATCTGCTTTTTCATACTGTGAACTAGCAAGCACGGCACATTGTAGGAATGACTGACAGAGTAGGTATCAAATGAATATGCAAAGCTGAAAGACAGGGCACTGGACTCCTGGGGAGAGATGAGGAAGAAAGAGGGCAGTGAGAAAAAGGGCTTTCAGCATCTTTGAGTGCAGTTCAAAAGCCTGGGGGACAAAGGTTTCCAGAAGTTCAGAAAAGGTGCCCACAAAGAAAAGAACACCAGGATAACACAGCCTGAGGTAATTTGCTGGCTGATCTTCCCTTCAGGATAGATGTATTTTAAGCTGCATTTTTACACAGTGGCAGAAAGATTCATCCTGCTGGCTAACACAAGGATGCATCTTTGAAGTGTGTCCGAGTCATGTATGCTCTTAACCTGTATGAAACTCAGTGCCTGCCAGATTTGCTCAGGATCAAAGAGATAAAGGGTGACAAGCAGCTGTATGTAGCAGCAACCAGGAACAACTCGCCAGTCAGAAATAGTTGGGAGATAAAGAGCAAAATGCAGGGGAAAATGAGGGGAGCAAAACACTGGAAGAGGTTATTATAAGTATCAGATTATTCAGTGTCAGATAAAGGACAGCTGACCACAAAAGAACCTTGCCAGCCACTCAGGATTTAATTTCACAGGTTAGATGCAACAGCCATAAACACAAGGCCATGCACAGGTACAAATAAACTGAACTGCACAGGCAGAAGAATGCAGAGTTATTAGCACACAGGGGAGAGAAAGTGAAATATCAATTTTATCAGCCCAGCATTCAATAGCAGTCAGAAACAAGAACAGTGAGAGGGATTACCAGGAAAGGAACAAAACAGAAACATCAATGTCCTGTTGCACAATCCTTAGCAGAATCTTTAGCAGACTGCTGTCTTGAAAACAAGATACTTAAACTAGAAAAAGTACAAAGGCATACAAAGCAAGTAAGAAGAAATTAAACATATTAAATACCCAAGAGGCTTAGGAAAAGATGACTGAGAAAGCTATACTCTATTGGACACCATGACTGGCACGGAAACAGTGGAGAGGACAGGAAAAGAAAGGAATATCCAGGCAAAGTACAACTAGAGGCACTAATGCCTTTCCCCAGGCATCTGTCACTGGCAGCTGTCAGGGGGCTTCTGGAGCAGATAAATCTTCCACTGTACTCAGGACAGCCACACTTACACCATGTATGGGAACACAGCCTAAGGAGGGGGTCGTGTGGCTACCCTTTGATTGTGTAACAAGCCGCAAATCCGGCACTAACGGCACAGCTGTGGGCAGAAACAAGCAGTTTGTATTTTAGTCCTCTGGATTTCTTCTTTTAAAAATCCTAATGCCCACAGACACAGCTCTGTGCAAACACAGTCCTGCAACCTGGAGCCTGGAAGTACTGCTGCAAGTGCTCTAGAGGTTTAAAGCACAAGTGAAGGTGGCAAGTGACAGTGACCTGCTCCTGTTCGTATGGATGCACGCTTCATCTACCAAATCACATTATATCCATTTTATTTAACAGGACAATCCTACAGGTTACCTAAACAGGGAGGGCTGTATTATACTGTGCAAAAGTGCAAAACAAGTACTTTTTCACTGGCCAGAAACATTTAAAAAAGAAAAAGAAATCATGACAATGTATTCCTGCACGTGTAACTTCATGCTAAACGCGTAGGTAAAAAAAGTGAGGTTGCTGCCACCAACCCACTTTCTCTTCTGCCCCAGAACAAGGTTTCTCGGCCCTTCCTCTGTGCCAGAACCAGCAATCATACAGCCACACAGAGACACGATGCAGGCAAAACCAAGCCCTGTTCAGACTAACACAGGGCCATAGCTTGGATGCAGAAGGTACAGTGGAAGCAGCAAACCCGGGCAGAAAATAAGACAAAGCCTGTTTTACCAGCTTGCTTTAAACCAGCTGTTACTGTGTACCTTCAGGTAACCTGCCTTGGAGCCAGATACCAGTCTGCACTGCCTTGCTTTGCTTAATGGAAAGCAAACAGATTGTTCTCTGCAAACAACTATAAGGGTTCTGAAATTCAAGGAGGGGCTGGAGGAAGGCTGTTTTTAACCTACAACAGTTGCTCGATAAACTGAATGCCAGTGACCCATTGCAAGTATGTCTTGTATTAACACTCTATTCAGCTTCCAACTTCAGTTAAGAGCAATGAAATGCAATTTTACTGCTTAAGATTCATACAAGAAATTATAAAAAGAGTTTTCTTTTCCTAATTTGATACTCAAGGACGAAAGTTACAAGCAGTTTTGACTTTTATTGTAACTTTTGGGCTCAAACGCGCATTTCAACGAGAGGGACAACTGAAGCATGATGTCTGCTAGAGAAAAAACAAAGACACTAATTTAGCATGAGACAGTTGGACTGTTTTGCCATGCTGCTACTGAATCAAAGTGGGAAGGTTAAGGGGATTTTTTGGTTGAGACTATAGACAGAGAAATATGTTATTTAAAAGGCACAATGTCCAAATTTTATTATTTGCATTATCCCTGGTAACAAGACAGAGACTGAGCTGTAACAATAGGAAGGATCTTTGTATTATTCTCTGGCTTTGAAGCCAACACAGCCTGCATTTCCCGCTGTCTGCACACACGATCACTTCAATCCCTGGTAGATACAAAGCTGCCAACATGAATACACATCACAGAGAAAACCAGTCCACCGTTTTATTTGCAATGCCCTTTTCTCTTAACAGAGAAGCACAGCAAAACCTGTTGTATATAGCTTTGTTTAAAGGAAAAAAAAAAAAAAAAGCAGCTTCTGAGCCTGTTTCTGAAGCCAGAAGACCCCCAGCTATGCTGCTCTGGCTGCTGTGAACATGCATTCTTTTGGCTACATGCACCAGAACAATCTACCTTACCTAAAAATAAACAGATAGATGCAGTAATGCAATATGCAAGTGTTTTGCAATGTTCTTTCCTTTGATAGGACATAAATAAAGAAAACAGGAAAGACGCAGTATTACCTAACTCCAAGTCAGAGAGCCTGCACTAAGACACCGCACACACGCACAAGTTGACAAACCCCAGCTGCTGCAAGTGCTTCTGCACAGATGCAGATTATATTCTTATAACAGATGCAATCCTGGAAATTCCTCAATTACATCAATAAAATCATTTCAATATATAGTTCCCACACAACCAAAATAACTAGCTAGGAATTTGTTTATTCAGCTGAACACTGGAAACTCTTTTCACTACTGACCTCACACTGCCATTCTAATCAAATGTCCTATTGTTTATTTTTTAATTCATCTTTGTGCTGTTTCACTGTGTCTAGCTTAAAATTACTTAAAACACAAGATAACTGGGCAAACCTGAAAAAACAGAGGACAATACTTGTTTTGCACACACATCACAGATGTCATCAAACTGCCAGAGTAGTTATAATGTGAACAGAATCCCACACTTTTCAGTCCAGATTTTTCAAAAACCTCCATCAAGGTCTACTGTCAGTGAGAAGCTACTCAAAAGACAAGTGGATGAGAACTGAAAAGCAAGAGCAACACACGAGGATGAAGAAGAAATGCAACTAAACAGATCACAACAGACAACACCAAATTAAGTGCTCCACAAATGCAGCAACTGTTAAACCCAGGAGGATTCCTGCACAACCACCACCCAGACAATCCTGTTGTGGAACAAAAGCCCTCAATACTCCAGCTGAAAACAACAAAAAAAACCCAAACAAAAAAGCCAAAAAACCAAAACATAAACCAAACACTACCACAGTAAGAGTGCTCTCACCTAGGTGAACAGTATTAGGTTCCCAGCTGGTGGGAACACTGGTTTTGGTTGTAACGTGACAAATTGCTCTTAACACAAAACTTTAATTTTCACTGTCGGAATCATACCTGCTTTATAGCTTGTTGAAGTTTTTCCAGATTTATTTCTTTGGCTTCTTTGAGTAATGTTTTTTCATCCATCTTTAACATAGAGACTCTGTACTGGCATAGTTCCACCACAACTACATCAGGTTGCACTTCCTGTATTGTCTGAAAAACATGAATTTATTTATACCAGTTTAGGAAGGATTAAACAGAAATGCAGCCAATATTGATACTTTAATGATAACAGGGACTTAATAAAAGCATCTTCCAGCAATCATTTTCAACTGAAAGAACAGTGAGAATAAATAAGACTTTTCCAAATATCTACCTATGGACAAAAACATTAAGTAAGATGACAGAGCTTTAGCTCTTGGATGCTTTTGGACAGGAAGATGGAGAACAAATTGTGCTGGGGGTGGGGAGGAGAAAACCTTGATGTTAAAATTCTTTCACATTCACAAAGTTCCCTTAACCATACTCTGCAATTGGAATCTGAGCTAGAATAGGCTTTGTAAGAACCAGGGCTGATTCTGGCACAGGATTCCTCCCCTTCTAGCTCCGGAAGAATAAAGCCCCTCTAAACTGCAGACTTTGCATGAGGTCCACTATGAAACAGTTCCTACTTTTACTAGAGCTTAAGACTTACTTGCATCTTCATGTTTATAAATATTTAAAGGGTGAGTGTCACGAGGATGGAGCCAGGCTCTTCTCGGTGACTAACAATGATAGGACAAGGGGTAATGGGCACAAGCTGGAACACAGGAGGTTCCACTTCAATTCGAGAAGAAACTTCTTCTCAGTGAGGGTGACAGAGCATTGGAACAGGCTGCCCAGAGAGGTTGTGGAGTCTCCTTCCCTGGAGACATTCAAAACCCGCCTGGACGCCTTCCTGTGTAACCTCACCTAGGTAGGGGTTCCTGCTCCGGCAGGGGGATTGGACTGGATGGTCTTTTGAGGTCCCTTCCAATCCCTAACGTTCTGTGATTCTGTGATCTTCAGAAGGGAATCGAAGTCTTGCGGCAGCAGGCTTTTATAGCTCAGTATTATACGCCCTGGACACAGAGAAGCTGTAAACTGCAGTTTCTGTTCTAGACTTCACATCTTCTCAGCAGATCCCTATCCCAGTGAATATGCAACAACCACAGTGCACACTATTGGTGTGACGCAATGCTATAATATGACAGGCAGGGTAAGCTTCAGTAGTGAGACTTCTACTTTTAACACTGGTGCTGCATCTACATTCATTGTTTAGGGACAAAAAAAAGTTTTTGAGATAGGAGAGCAGTGTATTGCATGCAAAAATTAAGACAATACAGCTGTCTCTTAGCTCATCCCACAGTGCTGTTAGCCCTCCAACTGCTAACATGAGAAAGAGTCTGGAGGTTACAGCACAAAACCGAGTCAGACAGCTGGACTTCATTCTACTTAATGCCAAGCTGACAACATTATGAAGCTATTGATGAAGGATACCCACTTAGTATTTACCTTCACTACATCCTTTTTGCTGCTGTCACTGAAGTGGGCTGTTCCAACCACATATACTTTAGAACCATCCTCAGTGTCAAGCTCAGTCACGGTGCTTGGTAAAGCAGGTTTTTTCTGCCTTTTCTTCATCTTCATCTCCAAAAGAATTTTAAATGCATCTGCATCGGCTATAAATGTAAAGAAAAACAGAAAGGAAAAGCACACATGACTATAAAGCGCAGGTAACTAAAACAGAAAATAAAAATGTCACCACTAAACAGCAGAGCAGAGCTAAAAGGCCATTGATTTACCACTGTAATCTTACATTCAGTTCTGAGGCTACATCATTGAGAGTGCCACCACTGGAGAGGCTGCCTCCAAGCATGGGTCTCAGTCCAGGTTTCCTACCCTGTGGACACTGGGACAGGTTGTCCACGCAGAAAAAAGAAGCTGGTGGGCAGGTGAGGTGGACAGAGAAGCAAAGAATACTTAGAAAAGGTATACACTAAATTAAAAAAAAAAAGGAAGAAAAAAAAAAAGGCATTTTTAAAATTCTAGAACAAAATCATTCCCTGTTGGGATTTTATCTGTATAAACGATAGCAACACATGTACACTGGTGTGAGTATGCTGGTAAAGTCACCTACACGTACTGGTACTGGTAGGTATCCCACCTCAGCCTTTTCCATGACTAACACATCAGGATTAACAATTGAAAATTAAACCATAAGAGGCATTCAGGTCAGGAAACAAATCATTCTTCCCTAGTTTAAGACTAAAATGGTTCAATGTGAGTTCAGCCCATCAGCATCAAGCTTGCCACTGGACCTATCAGTTCTATTACTTACAGCTTGCGAAATGCCAGAAAGCCTCACTAACGGCTATGGAGAAGCCTGTTTTGCATCAATGGGAAATACAGTAACTTTGAATGAGTTATCTTTAATCTGTGATGTCTCTTAGGAAAAAAAAAAAAGCATCAAGCAGGAAAGCAGAGTTTTGTTTCCAACCAACTCTCCTTCTCTGACAAGCTGTTGCACAAGTTAGCAGAGGTCTCAAGTGGTCCACAAGCCTGGAATAGGATCATAATTCCGTAACAAAAAAAAAAAAGGTTAGTGAACAGTCTGGAGCCAGGATGTCAGAGATGCAGATAAATCACAGCCTCCTACCACACATCCATTCTTTTCATTAATCTGGTTTAACTAACTGGGCTCTAGCTCCAGAACTGTCCCACAAATACTTATCTCACAAGATTTTACGTCAAGAAAACCCCAAAACAAAAGTCACCCTCCAACATCCTTCCTAACGTTTTAGCAGCCTACTACTTCATGCTTAATGCCCAAGAACACGGTGTGTTGCAATCAGTGTGGTCTGATCTCAGACCGTGTTGCTGCCAAAACAGATGGTGATGCTAAGCAGGGTGTGGAGAAAACATGACTGTAAAAGAAGAAGTAGGGCTGTTGCATTTATAGCACTCTGTCATGATCATAAAACCAGCCATAATACATCAACCAAAATCTACCTAAGCAAATACCCTGTCTCCCGCAACGGTCAAAAGTGGATTATCTACGGAAAAACAAAAAATGGGGAGGCATGCACAATATCTTCCCCAAATACTCTCTAAGCCTAAAGTAATTTATGGCTTAAGATCTCCCCAGCTGAAAGTAGTTTCTACATATTCAGCAACCCTTAAAGGATTTCCTTTCTATTAATTTTCAAGCCTTTACTTCACGCGCATACTCAGAACTGGATTGAACAAAGTTTCACATGGAGAAAAACTGCTGTAACAGTGCAGTACCAGATGTTATAATTTAAGGACATAATCAAGGAAAACATTCTCAAAAGCAACTACAGCTTTTATTAAACCAACTCCTGGATTTGGAGAAAAGAGCAACATAAAAAAATAATCTGCTTCTTTAGGTCTGAATGCTTGTCCCATAGCTTTAGTCAAGGCTCTGACTGTCCCTATGATTATTTCTGAGAGCCGTGATCCCTAGGGATTATTCAGCAACTTCAGCACTACAGTAATGTTACTGTTACCTGATAACTTGCCCTAAGGTGGTTCAGAGCCTTGTCATTTGACAGAAAGCAGAACCTAAACGTTCCTATTGTTCAAAATGAGGATCATATACATTAACATCACAATGGTGTATCAGTAAACACAAAAATCCTAAAAAGCCTCCTTTTATCCTCCTGAGAAACAAGTGTCTGTCATTATCTGATCCTTACCACTAGAAGGTAAGGACAGATGCTCTTACTGAGCTTTTGGTTGGAATACTTCTATTCCCACAACCTGCAGACTTGTCCTTCATATCAAACTATCATCATGCTGGCATGGGCAAAGTATTCCACCTTGGACAACTGACTGAACTTCATAACACTAGATGCCAGAATGCTGAAGCAAGCATGTACTCACCCATCTCTGGCTTACAGAGAAATGACTGAGCTTAAAACATTAGCTGAGTATATCTATTAAATCAAAACCCATTTACTTTCTTTAGAAAGCATGAGAGCAGCAAACTGACAATTGATATGTCATTACTCTTTCCAGATTTGGCTTATGCAACTGGGCCTTTGTACAAATCATGAACAGATTAGGTCAGATATGACCTCACTTGCACCTCCCTTTTGTGCTAACAGCCACATCCTTATTAGGCAAGGAAAAGGCATGGACATTTAGCTTAATATACTTCCAACATTATATATCCTCCCCAGTTAAACCAGAAACATACAGATATTCTGCGATACACTTGATGATTCCTTTGGGCCATCTTCTGGTGCATCAGAGGACGACACTGGATCTGCAGCAGCCTGTATGAAACAAATTCAAACGGAGGCTGGGAATTATAACGAAATATTTTAATTCATCTTTCCCCTTGTCAGCTTGCTCAAATTGAACTGACATAATATTCAAGCAAATAAACGATTTAAGCAGCGGCAACAGTTCAAAATGTCTGTGGTTTTACAACTGTTTTTTTCTCCTAGCTGAGTAAGTATGGAAAAACATTAAAAACCTAACTATTTCATGCTTATTTTCACAATTATTTATTTATATCCAACACGGAGTTCAAAAAAAACAACACCCAAATAAAACTGATTCTAGAATAAAAAGAACAAACTTCTCTCTAACATTACTATAGTGTTTTCTGTACTGGAAACTAAAACACGCAGTGAATTATGCTAATACCATTGTCATTTATAAGACTATATATTTGAGTCAGCTACCAGTCAGCATTAGTCTGTCAGAAGTCTGCCAAAGCTAATCACCATTCACAAGAACACACATATCCATTCAAGAAGAGTTTGCTCAAGTATTTTATACTGCTAGAATTAAATGTAAGGTGATTATACAATATGCACACCCAATGTTAGAAAATTTGTGTGCATCTTGACTTTACACACCTCAGAAATCAAAGTCAAAAGAATGAAAAGGATCCACATAGTTTTGTTCCCTAAAAGATCAGCAGATAATTGAAAAGACTCCCCAAGACTGACTGAAATATTATCACTAGAAGCATACAGTGCATACATCCAAGCTGGAGAGGATGAGTTAGTACAGAAAAGAGAGACTTAAGAATCAGGGAAATCTTGATTATAAACTATTTTTAGGCAACTACATTAATTCTAAACTAAATGAAGATGTTTATGGGGAGAATCTGGAATTCTTGAACATTAAGTCCAAAAGTTAGAGACAGGATGTGAGTCCATCATCATTCAAGTACTTTTCAAATGAAAGGCTGTATTAATGAGTCAGCAAGCAGGCAGCCAGATCCTCCTGAAGGATGTCAGCATTTTAGCCAGAATGACTGGTTTATTAACTTTGTACTTTACCAGGTAAGATTTAAAACAGGACTGTACAAAGCACATCCAATTCTTAAGAGCTTTCAACAAGAGTAATTCCTTCTTGCATTCCATTATGCCAAACAGTAATTTTCAGATAATAAATCCTGGGTGTCTTACCTTGGCCCCACTGAAGGCAAGGTAAAATTTATTATTGCATTTCATGGAGTAAGATCAAAAAGTACATCAGCTCTACAGGGCAAAGTTTAAAACACTCACAGGAACATTTTCACTACAAAGCAGAAGTCTGTTCATGGACAACTGCAAACAGCAATTACACCACAAACTGCAATTACATTCACAAATCTAATTTAACACCAGCTCAGCTTTTGATCACAACATATGGCTTGACTCTACTGCTTGCATACGTAACTCTAGTCACAAAAAATATTTTGAAAAATGTATCCATATGTAGCATATGGAATTAATCCTGTCACTTATGCTGGCTTTGTCATCATAACATTACAACACTGCAGTAGGAAAAGCACTAAGCACTACTTTAACAGTCTGCCCTTCCTTTTTTTTTAATTAACGAACAGGACACGGGAACTGACATTCCAATATATCTTGTAAGAAAGAAAAAATTCCTGAGCTTCACCTATTACACTGGAAAAAGATTTTGGGATACATAGATATGAAAGGAGAATAAAAGGAACAGAAAGGGCAGAAAAAAGCACCTCAGTTTATTTTGGCAAGGTACTTAACCTGTATACAGTGAGATCATTCATATACACTTTGTGCAATTTACCAAACATTTCTTCCTTCTAAAGGTTTAAGGTTAGACGATTTTCTGCAATTCCTCATTTGCAAGTAAAAAGACTCTACTTAGCTTCTGCAGTGCTAGGGGATGAACCTAAACATGGCAAAACAATAGCACTGAGCCCCCCACCCTTTTTAAAAGGTGTCTCACAGCAGTAGTCTCAATACCTGACTGCAGACCTTCCCTGAGGATGAGTGGAAGAACCCAACTGAATCAGTCCTGACCTTCCCTGCAATTCCACCGAGTGAAAAAATAATACTTAAAAAAATACATATATCTCTTCAGCTTCAAGCCCTACCTCAGGCTGTTGCTCCTCTTGCATCCCTGCAGCGTAGGCTTATCTTCACCAACCGCACAAGAACTGCAGTAAGTAAAAGGAATGGAAGAGATTTAAAAATTAACCGTATAACCCAGAATATTTGTTTAAGAACTGTAAGGAAAGGTGGGGGAAAAAAAAAAGCAGAGGTGTCTCTACCATCTCTGATAAAAGTTTAGGTAATAAAAGCAGCAAACTGAAGATGCATAAATGCCACCTTTTCAACTCTGGTATTAAAAAAAAACCCCACAAAACAAAACCAAACAAAACAAAAAAAAAATCCCACAAAATCACAGAACAACCCAAAACATCAGCAGGGTAAAACTAGCCTGTCTCAATCCAGTTTTTGAGTTGGCTTTAAAACCAGAGGCTAGTCCTGTTCTCACACACACTGAGAATACCTCGACAAGCAAGTGTGGATTTAACAGGATCTCAGAGTCTGCTTTTTTTGCTGTTTTACATTCTGCAAAAGTGCCTTTTCCCCCCCAGATCACTCATAAGTAATTGAGGATACAGAATGACTCTCAGAAAGGTTTCAGCAACAGCAAAAATCTCGCTCAACTAGATCTGCAGTTCTGTCTTGTCCAAACAAACTACGACAAGGCAGTTTTTATCAGATTTTATGAATCACTGATATTTCTGGGACTTCACCACTGCAAGGAACAGGAGAGCAATCGCAGTCTTAATCCTGAACTAGAGACCACACACATTACTATTTGATCTGCACCATGTTATCATGTATATATTTACAGATATGCCACAGTCAGAACACCAGTAAGATCATGCCTGTGTGAAAGACACTGGGAACTGGGTTTTCAAACCCCTACTGAATGGTTTCCATGTCTTAGTTTTAGGATTACTTCTTCCACCTGTATTATTCAAGTTCAAGAGTTCTCCGTGAATCTGGCAGAGTGCTATGATTTGACTTTGATCGTTCTCAAAGGAGACTGCAAAAGCTACTGAACACACAACTGGCGCTTATTCTGCTTATTCTCACTGCTACCCCACTAAAATTGAAGCACTCCAAGAAAGTGCTGCTGCTCCACTATAGCATTTTGGGTTACTGCCCTCTGCCCTGTTTCACAGTATGTGAGCAATGTTTTATTTTATTAGACTGGAGAGCAGTCCTGACCAGCTTATCTGTACAACGCCCCACTCTGAGAAGTGGAGGGACAAGTCAAGCTCCTGCTCTACGTCCAGGTGAGGCAGGACAAATATGGCTGAGGCCTGGTGATGGCATATTACAGCACACGAATGTGATGACAGAAGCCTCATCTGCCCCATTTCCTGAATGCAATAGCTTCCCTGAGTCTGATTTGCACTCTGCATCCTGGTTTCTAGCCATTACGTTCAAGTGAGTTGCTCTGCTTTCTAGCTTTGCTTAAAATATGTTTCTATAAAAAGAGCGTTCGCTGAGGCAGCGTGAAGCATACAATTGTAATCCGGACAGCTGGCACATCTCCCTCCACACATGCAGAGAGCAACTTCAGCAATTCATTCCTTTGCGTTGTCCACCGCTAGCGTTCAGCCAGCAAACTGAGAGCACAGCTGCAGGCTGGGCAAGAAAAATGCAGCCAAGAGCCTGGCTTCTGCACACTCCTGGCAGCAAAATTCAACAGAGCTCCATGCCTTGGGCAGGCAACACCTACAGAAACAGCTCTTGAACTGCGAGGCAAATACCCTGTTAAAACAAAAACTACAAACTGCGAACAGCCCAAGAGGTTCAGTAACAGACTACTTGTTCACAAACATGCGAGACATCCGCACAGGCAACTTAAGACACAGTTGCCCAAGTACTCCATTGTTTGCTACAACGCATAATACAAATTTAAAACCATGACCTTGCTGTTCCACTTTCCAAGGGGTCAAGTGAAGGAAACTTAGATGTCAGAGTAAGCTGAAATGGCAGGTGAGGCTGAACTGCTCTTTTCTGCTTTAGTGTTTCCACAATTTATATACAGTGTGGACAGCTCTAAACAAACACAGCAGCAAGAGAATCCCTGCCTCAAGACCTCCAGCCTGACCAGGGACACACCAGCCTGCTGACACCAAACACCAGACAGCCTGGCCAGAGTCATCTGCTGGTGGTGTGGGCTTCAATGAACCCAGTGCCTGTTTTCATGCTGTCCTGTCTCTATTAGATCGGTTGAACTATTTGTCAACTTTTGCAGTAAACTAGACTGGAGAGCAGATTCAGGTTAAAAAGCAACCCTTCCCCCCCTCCCCATCCAAGGGGATGCCTTTCCAAGGCATTTTAAGCTCAGATGATCAATCAGCAGCAGGAACAACTGTGGCAGCAAAACCAAACGGACAGTATGAAGCAGAGATGCTGAACCCAACACTGTCTTCTGAGAAAATACTTGTCCAACTACACTAGCTAGCACTGCCTTATATCAGACCTCTGGAGAAAGCAAAGCTGCTCAGTGTGGTTCCCAGCTCTACCATAGCAGGGTTCCAGCCTCTGCAGGTAACCCCCAGCACACCACCACAGCAGCCAAACGAGAGGCTGGGTAGCCACATGGACAGGCAAGTCTGCCACAGTGTTCTTCTAAGAGATCTTCTCAGATGCTTAGGTCTGCTCAAAATCCACTGGAGGTGAAATTTTCCACAGGGGAGACCTGTTTCTGGATTTTTTTTTCCTTAGAATGTGCCCAGGAAATTCAGGTTATTCAGTCAACATTAAGAACATTCTTACAAGTGGTTGCCAACAGCAAACTAAACCTCGCTGAACAACTGCTGTGAAAATCTGCATGTGTTCAAGCTCTTCCTTAATATGAGGGACAACAGGCACAAAACACATCAACATCTGAGTACAGCCAAGGCTGGCTACTCAGCCAGTGCCCTCAACAACAGCACAGGAGAAAGTACATATATTCTGGGAACCAGTCAACTACCATGGACTCCAGGTTGACCTAGCTCATCCATGTGGAAAAGTTACCATCCCTCTACACCTCTGTATTTACAGAAGATATCCATATCACACGATACTTGAAATAATAATCCTGAAACTTCTGAGGGAGGACTGAATATACCTTGCTGGAATCTGTACACACTTCCTCCTACAGTATCCAACACAAGGGAAATTGTGCTGATTCAGATCAAGACCAGGCAGAGCTTATTTGCTAAACCACAGGTGAATTTTAAACAAACCTGGCATGGAGGTAAGAATCTCACAGTCATTCAGTGTGTGTGCAACACTTCAGGAATAAAAGGTTACTGAAGATTACGGGGGGGTGGTGTGTCTGCGTGAGAAAGAGGAGGTCAGCAGAATCTGTCAGGGAACAAAAGGAAATTCAACCCCAAGCTGTAAAGAGACACAGGCAAAAGCAGCTGTTCAGACAATTATTTATTGTGTCCCATAATAGGAATACCACAATATCCCATAACCTCAAGTTTTTCTAATTACCATGCGATTTGGCAGGAATATGTGAAACCAGTCAAACCCATCTCCTCCAGCTACTTCAAAGGCTTGTAAGAGGCTCTTATGAGATAAATCACACACTGAAAAATCTCAGATACGACTGTGCATTTCTTTCAAACTGGGAGATGCAGCTTCTAGGCAGTCAAAGATCAAAGATTAGAAAGCATTTCTGTTCTCTTATCTGCCAGGAGACTGTCTTAATCTGGAATTCATTCCTCCTGCTGAGAGTGCCACCAGAAAACTCCTGGAGGCAGGACAAACAAGCCGGAGCCTGATCTGACTCCTTGTGATCCAGTAGCACTGGGTTTTACCTCTGGAATTTTCTTGAAAGGACTCCTCAATTAGTGAATTCCCAACTTAATCCCCAATTCAATCATCTTTTTCTCTAGCAAGTGGGATTCGTGTGCTTGTTTCATGTTCTCAAGTCCTGGAGGGCTTGCCATTCACTGGGTGATTAAATATTGCTCTTTATGTATACATGTATGAACAAATGAAGCCCTTTCCCCAACTCTTAAGATACCCAGGCAACCAAACAGGAATTTCTGAGATCAAAGAACTGCAAGCCTAAAATTTAGCCATTACTCATCTTACTGATAGACATCCATTTCCTCTCAAGGTCTTCTTGTCCTGACAGCACACACAGGGCAGCCATTCACACTGACAACAGCATTGTGGAAAAGGGGCTATATTCTTCCTCTGCACTTTGGGGATTATTTTCTTCCTCCCAACACAAGAAGTTCAGAAAGGAGCCCACAGGTAAGTGCAACATCTTCTAGCAATGCTTATCCTGCACGGCGGCTGACAAAAGCAGGGTGAGAAAGACCTCCCTGCCATGCTATTTCACATCACTCCTCCAGCTTTCCTCATGTAAAACAGCCACAGCAGAGCTTTCTCTTCATGTGAAATCTACTTGTGAACCACTGGCTCATTTTTCATACCACGTAGTCTCAGCTGACCAAAGTGTTTCGATTCTAGCTGCATATTTAGGCACCTGAAACTCTCTTAGCTCGCAGTCTCAAGGAGACAAGAGGTACACTCAAGTCAGGGGTTCTTGCAAGGTGAGTTACAGACACTAAAGCATGAGTCACCGCTAAAGAACAAATGCTGTTTCTCTCATGCTCCTACCTATAAAACAATCTAGTCAGCTACTCTTTAAAAAGAGGATTTTTATTGAACAGTTTTTTCCTTCTGAGCTATACAGAAATTCAGAAGCAGCATCTGCTTTCCTCAACATGTTGACATTGCAATAGGGAAATAAATTTCTCTGTAGTTTTATAATTGCTCTGTATTTTTGATGTGCTACATGCACATCAGAATAACTAGTAAGAAACTACGAGCCACAAATCTACCACAACTTATTTCACCTTTTACTGAAAGGGAAAGCCAACAGTTTTTCTGTTTGATTTCCTCCCATCAACAAATCTGAATGCATATATTACTGCTTTAGACAGTTACAATATTCATTAGCATTGCAGAAGCTATCCACATCTCTCTGTACTCAAAGTATTAATCCTGCAGCCTCTGAGCTGGAATTAGATGTACTTCCCTGTTTTACAAATAAGGAACTGAGGCATGTGACTACTTA